GCCACACCACACCCCGCCACGCCACGCCCCGCCACGCCACACCACACGAAGCCACGCCACACCACACGACGTGTATAATCTATGATACAGACCCATATATATATAATAATAATATCATTATATGTATTATTATGGTTACTCTTACCATTATTAATTCTATTTTTCAATAAGATAATAATAACTATTATTATTAAAATTATTATAATTATAAAATTATTATTGTTTTTTTACTTTTTATTATTATTTTCATTGTTACTAATATTGTAATGATTTTTTCAAATTTGTATCATTCTAAGCATGGCCGAATGTTTGAATTCTATACATTAGTCGTAATATTATAGGTGCTGGTTTATATATATATATATATATATATATATATATGTTCGAGTATTATGTTCGAGTATATATATATATATATATATATATATATATATATATATATATATATATATATATATATATATTAATGTTTGAATAATTTATGTTAATTTTATACTATTTGATTCAGAAATAAAACATCATTGATTCACGCATTCAATTCTGAGTTATTTCATTTTTAAACAAAAAAAAAATAAATTAAATTTACATTTTTATGAGAGAGATAGAGAGAGAGAGAGGAGGGAGAGAAAGAAGGTGTGTTAAAAAGAAAAGTCATTGCGTTTGAGAAAGAATAAAGAGAAAAGAATGAGAATGAGAGAGAGTGTGTGTGGAAGAGAAAAAAGAGACACTTAAACAAATTTAACAACTCTGTGCAGTTTCAATGATATCATTTTGTATCACAAGGCGAATGAAATCTTTCTGTAGTTCGTTGTTGACCTCTTTTCCCTGCAATCTTTCCAGTAGTTGTTAGATTTTCCATTCTTTCCTTCGGCATGATGTGACTAAAAACCTTTAACTGCCCAACAGTCGGATTATCTGCAGTAATTTCCTCTTTTCATAACCGGACTGTCTCAATACATCCTCACTCGAAGTCAATACAACCAAATAAAAAAAAACCTGATAGTGACAAGTTGAATATAATTTTTACCGTTGCAACGAGGAGCGTTTTAATAGAACGTTATACCAGACAGGAAAACTTGAAAACTGAAAACAAGAAATGAAAAAAATGAATCTCAGCGTTTTAAGTTTAAGCGAAACTCGGTGAAAGAAATCAGGTGTTATTATTACCTTTAAAAAGGGCAAATCTATCTACTCTGAAGGCGATTCACACGAACAAGCAATAGGTAAACTATTGAATAAAGAAATGTCTAAAAATTTAGGTTTCTGGCCTGTGTCAGATAGAGTCTTGTTGGTCAAGGTCAAGATACACACAAAATCTTTCAACCTAGCTGTTATTCAAGTTTATACGCCAACATCAAAGAAGAGTGAAAAATACCTTGAAGATCTTTACAATAATCTTGATGATGCTTTGCAAACAATTGGATGTCTTAACATTTCCAGTTTAAAATAAACCGAACGCAAAACCGGGAAATGAGAAAGATTTTTATTTGAAAAGATTTTATTGAAGACCAGAAAGAAACAAAAAATCAGTTTAGTGATATATATATATATATATATATATATATATATGTATATATATATATATATATATAAATTATCGTCAAAAATAAAATGAAATATCAATGTTGTTGAATTGCTTAAATAAAATTTCAACCAAACAATCAACCAATAATTCAATCATTCATTCATTAATTCCTTCCTTCCTTCATTCATTCATTCATTCATTCATTCATTCATTCAATCAATCGAACCGATCAGCCAATCACAATCTCCAAAAACTGTCATTTCTATGTTTAGCTCTCTCCAGAACTGACTCGGCCAAGGAGAGTGAGCTATTCAAAGAAGACAACGGCGATGATGATAATAGTTGTCCTTGGTTATTATAACCATAATTATAATTATTATAATTATTGAGTTTTTTATTATTATATTTATCATTTAGCATCTTCAAATAGTCATCGTTATCATCATCATCATCATCATCATTATTATTATTATCATTATTATTATTAAAATTATCATTATCATATATTTTATAGCCAGTATCATAATCAAAACGTAGATAATGTTGGTGATGCTTATTATCACTATTATTGTTATTATTATTATTATTATTTTTATTATTATTATTATTATTAGTAGTAGTAGTAGTAGTATCATCATCGAGTTTAACTGTTCTAGCTACATCATCATCATCATTGAAATTATTTTCGCGCCAATATTTATAATCTTTGTTCTTATTTGCCGGAAGTTTAGCTGCTGCTGCTGCTGCTACTGTTGCGACTTGTGGCTTTAACGATGATGATGGCTTTGACGATATCAATTTGTCTATCTTTTCCGATAATGACAATGTTGATGTTGTCGGCTGATGATGATGATGATGTGGTTGTTGTTCATGATGATGATGATGTTGATGATGATGTTGTTGTTTAAGAGGCCGTGATGATGACGACATATCAGCAGTTTTCAACCGTGGTGACGATGATGATGACGACAATGATTTCGGCGCTAATGATAATGATTGTTGTCGCTTCGGCAATGATGATGATGATGACAGTTTCGGCGCTTCTGGTGGTGCTGATGATGATGGTTCTCCTGGCGGAGTGACATCCCAGTAGTGATTATTTTTAGATTTCAGCTGAGTGAAGTGATCCCTGGAAAAAGTAGATCCAAGCGAGCGCGCTTTGTATTCATGCGCCATTTTGCGGAGTTTTATGACGTTGTTGTTGACGTCATTGTTGTCGTTATTGTCATCACTGTTGTTGTTGTTGATGATGTTGTTGCTGTTGTTGATGTTGTTGTTGATGTTGTCATCAACATTTTTTACGACTATACTATTGATGTTTCGGTTAATGTTTTTGCTCCTATTATTATTCCTATTATTATTATTATTATTATTATTAGTAGTAGTAGTAGTAGTACTTTTATTGTTATTATTATTTTTATTTTTATTATTATTGTTCTCTTCAACGCAATCGTAGACGTTGTACAGTAAGGTCGGGTGGCTCCTGTATAAATTCTGGCGAAGAAATGAATAAAAAACAATAATAAATATAAATAATAAATAATAATAATAAACAATAACAATAATAATAATGATAATGATAAAAATAATAATCACCACCATCACTATTATCAACACCATTATTTTTATTATTATTATTATAATTATTATTAACATTTTATAGATTTTAATCCACATAATATAGATTGCAATCTTGTTAAAACATCACGAGGTGCTACGCTAAAAGAGTATCGAGGCCAGGTTCTTGAATTGGGTGATAGACTTGTATTTAGTTATTTATTTCAAATGATATCTGAGGTCTCTAGACAGCGAACAGGTCAGAAATCTGAGAGGTTAGATTTGTTGTTGGTTCGTGGCAAGTAGCTACCTAATGTATAGAACTGATTACAGAGCTCTCCTATATAAAAAAACGACTACACACCTCTCTTTTGTTAATGTATATCTATATTTAGAACTACATAAATAAAAGCTCTTTCAATAAATTTAATTTAAGCACGGGTAGGTGTGAATATGTGGAAGAATATGTTAACAACATTGAATTTAAAACCGTATCAAGCGAATCTGGTAACATTAATACAGTTAACCTCAACAATTTTTAGGTGTGTTCCACTTCTGTAATGTTAGAACCCGCTACTAACAAGCTTATATTGTTGAACAGCACATCCCTAATTTAAGCATGTGACGACTTGCTATATATAGCTTATTAGTGTGTTAAAGGTCTCTTGGGACCATTCTGCCTGCTATCCTCTACTGAAGAGACCAGACGACGAACGAACAAGGGAGCATCCCTTTGAGTTGGCCACTTTGAATTTTAAAACGAATCATGGAAAATTTAAGCTTTCGAACTAAGTTGTGGTAACATGGAATGGTTTAAGTGCTGATGTTCTGATGGCTGGTGGTGTTAATATGTTCAAGGCATTTGTTGTGAGCATAGGAGCAACAGTTCGTGCCTTATTATCTTCTGTATATGTCATGTTATGCTATTATAATCATCATCATTATTATTATCATCATCGTCACCATCACTCACGTTCATCTTGTCGAATCCATTTCTGCTCCGAATGTAATTTCCCTTCCAGCGAAATTCCGACTGGTACTCGGATAATCTTCTCTTATTTAGGATCTTTATTTGGGGGTGGAAGGGAATTTATCTTTGGTGTATTGTAACGTCATTCTTATTGCTATTTATTTGTATGAATGACTGATTGGCGTGATGATAGATGAATGAGTAAAACGAACAATCAAATTAATGAATGAACGAGCAATCAAATGATTGAACAAGAGATAAAAGAATAACTGATAGACTCGTCCAGACAAAAATAAAATTCAATACAATTGTCCCCCTCAAAACGCATGTTAGCAAAATTTTTTAAAAACAATACGTACATTTACTTTACTATTTTCTTTATCCTCATCATCATCACCAGCCCTATTATTATTATTATTATTATTACTATTATTATTATTACTATTATTATTATTACTATTAGTAGTAGTAGTAGTAGTAGTAGTAAAATTACTCTTGGGCTTAAAACTAATCAGGGGTTTATTTATAGAATTCCTGGTATTTCCAATATTCTTCCCCATATCCTGTTTTTTATTATTATTATTTTTCTTGTCACTACTGGTTGTTTTAGTATTATTATTGTTAGTATTATTAGCAATATTGCTATTTTTAGCCTTAGAAGTAGTAGTAGTAGTTGCGGCAGTAGTAGTAGTAGTAGCAGCAGCTTTAATATGATTGATTGGATTATTATTACTATTATAACTTTTATGATTATTATTATTATTATTACTACTGTTGTTATTATTATTATTTTTGTTATTGCTGAAATTATTGTTCTTTGTTCTGTAAAATTTTTCTCTCTCTCGTTTTAAGAGATCTTTGTGTTGTTGTAGTTGTTGTTGGTGCTTTCGAGAGATTCGCTGGCCGATGTCGCTAACTGTTAGTATGGGTTTTGTTGCTGTTGCTGTT